TTGCTTTGTTGCACAGTTGATGAAATTGAGGTTATAACATTTTTAACATATTGCTGTTGCCGCCATTTTATAAAAGCAATAAGCTAAAGCCACTCAAGTGTAGAGATAGTCCGTCAACATATAGCGCAACTGCGCCTCTGGCGACCCAAGCTCGATTCCCAGCTTGAGGTCTTTTTCCGATCCCGTTCCCCACTAGCCTGGTTAAAACCAGACCATTCTCAGTTGTAACTGAGTTATGGTCTGGCAAAGCGTCATAGACGAATCATTTCCAGAGGGGCGTCACCAACGGCCGTCGCGGATAGACCTAAAACCAATCAGAGCGATGAAGGAGATGACGTATGCAGTGCGGCGGACAAACATCTCCGAGTGTTGTTCTTTGCTCGGTTTTTAACAAAAAGGAAACGTTCAAATCGCTTAAAACAGACGCGATAGCTGATTCGAACGAGTGTTGTTCGACGGCGGCATCCATCTTTGTAATGTAGGCTACAAAATCTGCTTCAAAATCCCAGCGCTGTCGTCATCATGAAAAGCCCGCCCCAACGTTTCTGATTGGTGCCTCGATTTCGACGGATTGGAAATGAGCTTGAATGAGCTCTTTGCCAGACTAACTTTCAGAGCAAATCTAAATTTGCCGGAAGTTGTCTGGGTTTTCCCAGGCTAGTTCCCCACGCTTTCCTGTCAAAATCTCTACTGTCCTATCTAATAAAGGCACAAAAAGTGTAGAGATTGGCCACAAATCTAATCGACAATATAAATCGACGAATAAAAATAAAGCCTCAAAACTTCCATTTTGATTTTACCTTTGCATTGGGTTCTGATTAATAATTGTCAAAAGAACCCCATTTAAAGCCGTAAATTTGTAAATTTCTAGGTAAAAAATTATCCTAAATAAATTTGAGCAAGTACATATCCAGCCAGTGTTCAAAACTATCTGCTTGCCTTAGCTCGATTCAAAACGGTAAGCTTGTATTAATGTTTTTAATTCCAGTGGCACTGGTGGATTTCCGCGGGAGATTCGAGCATGTCTTTGCGTCATTACGTCACATCTGTACACATAAAGAAGGAGTCTCGGCTAGTATAAGCTATATTGTTTGCGAGGATGTTGGAGGTGGAGATTTATAGCCTTTTCTCACAGCACTTGATATAATTAAACTTATCAATTTGATGGCGGATCCAGAAAGATTCAAACGACAATCACCAGTGACAACAGATTCACCCGCTGTAAAATGCAAAAGACTTCGGAGTGGCTACAGAAAAAAAAGAGACTGCGACCGGACCCATGCGAAAACAAGGATAAATATCGGAAGGGCTTTAAATGTAGTCACGCAATGCTGATGTTGAACATTAACAATTTGGGAACAAAGTATAATTTGCACGGTTTGACTTGATATGATAAGCGATCGTTAGATTTAATCAGTGTGATTTACTGCAATGCTTTTTAACAACCAACGTGGATGTTACTTGTTCAGATGACAATTTAGGGTGAAAATTATTATGTTGGTCATACTTCCAAAAAAGTAGAATGTGATTCCGAATGGCAGTCTCCACACCGGCAGGCGACTGACACCCGCACACTCTACTATTCAGCCGCGCTGTGCCGTGCCGAGGCACAACCCATGTAAAGTTGATAATTCCGCAAATAACTGCAATTCCAGATTTTTAACAGAGATGGCAACAAAGAGGAAAAACTACAGACTGCAGCTTTAAGGCATAAGCTTTTGACAGTCCTCAAAATACATGTAGCCCATCAGGTAGCATAACAGAGCTGCCAAAATTCTCTAAACCCCACAAATGCTGGAGACAAGCTGTCTTTCCACCCTCTCATATGTGCTGAAAGGGCCCCAACTCATCGCTTACTGATCCCTGCATTACTAGCATGGTTTGACAGAGACATTATGGCATGAGATCATTGACAGATAAAGCCGGATGGATACAAACAGCAACCGGCTCATCAGATCAGATTTTTCAGGCATGTTGTAAGAGGCATCGACCTCATTTGTGGCCCACAACAACCCAACATGGAGAACTGTGTCAACAAAAGAAACAAGCTGCCTTGAATCTTTAGTCAATGAATATTGAGTAGAGGCGTGACTAGGTTAAGACTGAACAAGTCAACAGGTCAGTCGAATACGTCAATGTGGAAATTACGGGCCCTGCAAGGTGGAATAAGGGCAGGTTGCTCCGTTCACGCCCTGGAACATCTTGACATGGTAAAGCGAGGATAGTACCGAATTAAAACCGATGTGTTCGTAACAAGATCACAAACAGAAATGAGTGTAACATGAGTGGCTTAAAATGGTCTAATCTAGAACACCTTCTACTTCCTTGATTTATCACCATCATAAAACTTAATGTGAAAAGTTATATAATTAGTATCAAAAATGTCACTGCTTATGTTAATTCTGATATACTTTAAAAAAAATTAAACATATATATATAAAACAGTGATTAAATGTTGCTTTACAAGTTCAAACAGCAATTGTGCTTTCTAGGAAAGAAACAGTGCAAAGTAACAGTCGCAGATTCTTTCGTAAAAAATGTTTTGCAAAAATACATTTTATGCATGCATTTAAAGTTTTGAAGTTTGTTCTTGTATGTGAATGTATGAAAAATCAGTTTTGAAGTAACAACCTCGAGAAAAGGGCCACACACCAATGAACCTGCGAGAAAAGCCTGCGAAAATGCTCAGATTTCCTGGGAAAAGCCCACCCTGGAGATTCGGAGAGCAGAACATAGAGCTCACATGCTACATGGCAAATGTTCAGATACATGACCTGGAAGACAAGAGGTCAGCAGGCACCAGACGCCGAATTGAGTCCCGAAACCCTCAACGGCAAGAGCACCTACAGGGTGGGCCACTTCAAAGACATTCCACACGCTTGGAATTCTGGGAGACATACCAAGGCAAACTGCAGAGTGTCAGAAGATCCCAAACAGGTCCATGGAGTTAGAGGCCAACGGTAATGTTAAAACTATTCCAACGTATTCTAACATCTTAATATTCGAGAGTTCAACCGTAGATGTTTTCTAAAAGAGTAACAATTACTGGACAGTTTAGTTTAAAAGATTGGCTCAGATTTGGAAACACATGGAAAATGGTTTTAAATAGACCAAAAATTCCCACTTCCAAATTTTCCCATGTTTCTTTACCTGAAAAACAAACAGATTGCATAAAGGTTTATCAAGTTTCTGATAGAAAAATAATAACACCGGCAAATACCTCATGTTTTCCCAATCTACAGTTCAAATGGATCGCTGGGATGCAACAGTTACCTATATTAGGGAAGATCCAATTATTTCCAGACCATTATTTATATCACCATGTTACTATTGCAGGCATCAGTCAAGCACTTTCTTGAGAAGGCAGCTCTAAAAAACATTTCCAGGCGACGATTCTAAGTGTGCCCATAAAAGTGCCTATCCTAAATTTAAATTGATGTTCAGAAATGGAAAAGCTGAAGGTGTTTAGATATAGTAGCTATATATTCACAGCAATACAGGATCTCACTAAACGTGTGCTGTAGCTTCTCCATTGAACACATGAATGAAAAATAGTGTGTATATAAAAATGCAATTTAGCACACACCTGATAACGCCTTATTAATAACCATTAAATTTACTTATGTTTATACGTACGGTACCGGTCAAAAGTTTTTAAACATTACCATTTTTAATGCTTTTGAAAGAAGTCTCTTATGCTCATCAAGCCTGCATTATATAGAGCTTTTTACAATACAGATTGTTTCAAAGCAGCTTTACAGAGAAGACAGGAAAATAATGCAAAAAAGTTTGATTCCAGAAGAAAATAGCATCACAGTCCAGCTTAAGTAAGTTCAGCGATGTTTCATTTTAGTTTTTAAAAAGTTATTAATTTAGTTCATTTATATATATATATATATATATACATATATATAGCCGCTCTGGTCTCTGGAGTAAACCGTGATGGTTCTTGTATAATATTGTGTCAATGCAGGCAGATCAATATTATTGTTGAATATTAAATTTAATGTTAAATGTAATGTCCCCAACTAAGCAAGCCAAGCCAATGGCAACAAAGGTGGAAAAAGGCGACAAGTGTGTGTGTGTGATATATATATATATGGACAATATACAAGCAATATATTATATAATATGTATGACTTGATAAATGTACCACTGGCCATAGCATGATTTGTTCATTTGTTTGTAATTTGTTTGTCGACTTACAATACAATTAAGAAGAACTAGTATGAATAAATAATTTTCATTTCAAAACATATTGATTTAAATATACACATATACGATTAAAAAAAAATACAAACATATGTGATATGTTTGTTTGAGAGTTACACCCACACAACGCTTAAAATATCTTCCAATGCCATATTCTGCACGCAAACATTATTTTACTTCTCATCTGGGAATTATCCATTGATATTACACAGAAGACGACCACACATCTCTGGAAATATAGATAGAAAGAAACCCAATGTAGGCTAATCCTGCACTTGTGGGATCTGGGAATCTTCTTAAGGCCTCAACTTGTTTACAACACGCTTCCAAATCGAACGTGAAGTACGTGCGTGTGCGTCTCCGTGACTGGAATCCAGGCGTGCGCGCGCTCGTGAATCCCGCCGAGTCCAGTCACGAGCGCTAATCTGGCCTTCGGGCTGACGCACAGAACGCCAGGCCTAAGGAACAGCCCATTTCGAGAGGAAGTGGGGGAACCATGTATATAAACATACGGTTAACAATAAAATAATTAAGATTTCATTCCCCAAATGACCGAAATTGTACCTTTACAAAATATCTGACTCATAAAATGGCTTATAAAAAGGCATTTTTAACACAAAAAGTCGTTTAAAAACAAACAAATATGTGCAACATCCCTCGCCAACACGTCGGAGCTGCCCGAAGTCTACATGAGTGAATTCCACAAGTCCCCTCAGTTGTAAACTAATAGTACACATTAGCGGAATAACATATCTACATTTTGTGAATTAAAGCGTGTTATTACTCACTTTCTCCATGTAGCGATCCGCAGAGGCACACGATGTAGGCGAAAGTGACCAAAACAACCACAGATGTGTCCAGCCGCATTATGTCTCGCGACACGTTTTAGTTTTCTTGGAAAATTAAATCCACCTCTGGCGTGTTCAAAAAAACAACAACAACAAAAATCAAATAAAAAATAAAATAAAATAAAAACGTTAATTAGCTTATATCCAGGCTAATAAAGTCTCAATCACAGCGACAACTTAAATGAGACCCCCCAAGAAGGGGACCCAGGGGTCCACCGTGCTTCAGTTAAAAATAATGTTCAATTTAAATAGTTGTTGCCTACGCAGCACGGGTTAAATTACTATTAAATAACATGATCTTGCACTCTAGTGAAAAATAAATGAACAAAAATCATTTTGAACGATTTTTCGGATGCATCTCTGCTTTCAGTATATCAAGCATGAAAACGTCCATGCATTTCTTCCATGGAATCAATCCCACAATTCTAGGAATGGGGTACCCTTAAGGGTACAGTACATTGCAACTTTTTCATATCCCTGTTTTAGTTTGCAAATTCCTGTAAAATCAACAATAGTATGGTTGCCTTGAAAAAGAGAAGAAAAAAAATCCACTGTTCACAGAAAAGCTTGCAGATGTTTCCCAATCGTCAAAATTTCCAATTATTTGACAGATTTTAATGTCTCGGAGGGCAGAGGCAAAATATAGGCGTTATTCCACAGGTCGTTTCATGTATTGCCAAATGTTCTTATCAGAAAAATGTCCTCATCACACACACATGCATAAACCAAAGGGGCTTTTTTGTTTTCTGTTTTTTTTTTTTTTTTTTTGCTATTCCGCTGTCAGATAAGCCACCGTGCTCTAAAATTAAATATCCACACACGTTTGTGTATATACGAAGCGTTGAGATCACAAATAAAAATATGGATATTCCCCTAAAGCCTTTGCTTCTAGCACAATGCTCCCGAAGTGTGTGAGCGTACGCGCGTCACGGCCGCGTTGCGTTTTAATCTTCCACGTTTAAACAGACCAGCGTCCAACGCGTGTCCAGACTGCCCACAAAACCACTCAATTCCGTCCACAAGACCCCAGTGTGCGGTTTAGATGAACTCGTTGGCGTGGGAATGGGCTGAAAGTGGGTAAAAACTTCTCTCGTGTTGTCGGCGGTATGGTTTTCCCCCTCTCGTCTCTCCCTGTGTACCTCCACCAGTAAACAAGTACTGCCAGTCAGCTGGGGTAGAGCAGCGGCGAGGCCCAAAACACGGAGCGGAGCGCAACGAATCGTCGTGACCGCTGGAATGGAGTCTGTTACACGCCCACATAAAGAGAAAGCAAGAGTCATGAATTAAATACACTTTTTAAATATACGTTTCCATGTATATAAGGCTTAAGACTTAAGACATTTTGGTGCTTGAAATCTGAATCCATGAAGTATTTTACACGAAAAAACTGATTAATTTATTTAAAATAAATTATATAAAAATGTATTTTAATTATATAAATTAAAATTAAATAAAAAAGCAGTTTATATGTATTTTATATTCTATATTATTTTGTATTATTATTTTATTTATCAATCAAAATATATGTATTTAATGTTAGTTGACAAATAATATTAAAAAAATAAAACAAAAAATAGGGCAGTATAATGTAACATAACATAACAGAATATAATTAATAGAATAGAATAATTGCTCTCAAATTGATTAATCAAACATAAAAGTTAGTAAATATATAAAATATATAGAAATATTATTTATAATATAATATAATGAATATAATATAATTTAATTAATATAATAATTATTGCTCTCAAATTGATGAATCATCTAACATAAAAGTTTGTCAATGTATAAAATATAGAGAAATATTATTTATAATATCAGATATAATATAATATATAATATAAATAATATATTATAATGTAATATATAATATAATATTTTTGTGATGTCTTCTACACAGGCTTTCATCACTCATGTGTTACTTTAGTATCACTTATTTACTATCATAGTTTTTACTAATATTCAGAATTATTTTTCATTTTTATAATTTCCGTTTTCATTTTAATTTTAATTAAAGTTTTAGTAGACCTTTGTTTAGTTTGTAATGTCTGTATAGTTTTTGCTTATTTATATTTTGGTTTTAGTTTGAATTATTTTAGTATTTTAGTTGAATTATTTTTATTTATTTATCAAATTAAATGAAAATGTAAAACGTTTATTTGGCAACTAGATTAAATAAAATAAGTTAAAAAAAAATAAGATTTCGTTTAATTTTAAATATTTATTTTTTAAATATTTGCCAAAACATTTTTTCTTTATGTTTTTAGTTTTAGTAATACCCTAAAGTCTCTGGGAGACTGAAATGTGACTTGTTTGAACAGAAATGATGTCTGTTAAGGTACTAACATTTGAAGGCGATGATTTGCCACTGAAGTCCCTGTGACATGAAGGCGTCTGCCTAAAACATAAATGTAATTTAATTGGACAGTTTAATCTGTGAAAGCACTCAGGAACAGAACATCTTGTTTGCTTTAAAGCTGTGATTAATCTATCTGTTATACAAGAGCTCATATACTGACTGTTCTAACACCAGTAATCCAAAATGATTTCTGTGATCTGATTATTCCCGTCCCCCTTCATCAACCAGACACACACATACACACACCTGTCAGATGATGAACGCGCATGTCATTATGTGCTTTGCTGTCATTTTCTGTTCTCACAGCCAATGAGAACTCATTCTCATTCCCATATTAAAAATCACATTTGTATTTGCACAATGTAAAAATAATCCTCATGATGCAGAAAAACTACAATATATTATTTCAATTGTAAAACATTTATAGATCATATGCTAAGGATTTTGATGCTGTGAACCTCAAAATGTTGTCAAGAGATTCACTTTGTTACATATTTATGTGTGATAATTTGAAAAATGTGTAAGTAGACTGAATTCTGAACATTTAACATAAAACACTAAATTCAAAGTTTAATTTGCAGGAAATTTGAATACGTTTAAATAAATAATTGTGAGACAGAAATATGTAAGTACAAATGAAAAGAAAAATATGCTACTGATACACCCGGCCACACCTGTTTTGCTTGCATATGGACTTTTTTTGAAAGCCATAACTTAACTAAAAAACACACACAAGCAAATCCATCCATCCATCCATCCATCTACACTCACCGGCGGTCACTTCATTAGGTACACCTGTTCAACTGCTCATTAACACAAATATCTAATCAGCCAATCACATGGGAGTATTTAGGCATGTAGACATGGGGCATGTTCAAGATCACAACGGTGCGCAACGTTTTGCTACGGTTTCCAGGTTGAACGTCATGTTTCCTGGAAACGGCGTGCACCGGTGTGCAACGGGGTTTGAGATGCGTTTTCTCTTGTTTGGTGGGCGTGTCAGAACTGCAGTCCAATCAGCAGCAACATGTATATAAAGCACACGGTATTAAAGAGAACTCGCACAATGGAAGTAATTTACAAATGTGTTCGATACGCAACAACTAAGGATATCAGAAGACATGTTTGTCATAAGTATTATTGTAAAAATATAGGATATCAACATAATGATGTAGTTGTTAATATTTTTAGCTTCATTGCAAGTGTGTGACATTTGGTATAGAAATAAACAATGCATGTAAAGTGCTTTTCCTAAAAATGAGAAAGAAAATACAGGGTATTAATAAAACATTATGAACAACAAGAATGTGAGGCTAAATAGATGTGTTTTAGTCTTTATTAGGTAAGATGTGCTTCCATTTCAGTTTCCACAAATCCCTTCACTCGATTGGGATGTTCTCTTGTGTTCTGGGCGGCAAGTGCAGTAACTGTAACATCGGGCATATTTTGTAGTATTAAACATATTTATACCGACTTCATCAGGCTCCGAAAATTCTTCACAAAGAACACAAAAAGCCTTCTCAGCTGCCGTAGTTGCAACTCTTGCGTCATCACAACAGTGCGTTCAACGCATCACCGTTTCTGTTTAAAAAACGTTCTGCAACGTTTTGTCGGCGCTGAACGCAGCCATGGTTAAGACAATCTGCTGAAGCTCATAATGAGCATCAGAATGAGGAAGAAAGCTGATTTAAGAGACTTTGAACATGGCATGGTTGTCTGTGCCAGACGGGCTGGTCTGAGTGGGATTTTCATGCATGACCATCCTTAGGGTTTACAGAGAATGGTCTGAAAAAGAGAAAATATTGCAGTTCTGTGGGTATAAACGCCTGGTTGATGCCATAGTTCAGAGGAGAATGACCAGACTAGTTCAGCTGATAGAAAGACAACAGTAACTCAAATAAGCACTCTGAACGAACAACACGTCCAACATTGAAGCAGACGGGCTACAGCAGTAGAAAACACACTCCTGACAGCTGAGAACAGAAACTGAGACTACAATTCACACGCACTCCCCAAAACTGGACAATAGAAGATTGGAAAAACAAAGCCTGGTCTGATGAGTCTCGATTTCAGCTGCAACATTCAGATGGTCGGGTCAGAATTTGGCGTAAACAATATAAAAGCATGGATCCATCCTGACTTGTATCAATGGTTCAGACTGTTTGTGTAATGGTGTGGGGAATATTTTCTTGGCACACTTTTGAGCTCTTTCGTATCAATTGAGAATCGTTTAAACGCCACAGTCTACCTGAGTACTGTTGCTGACCGTGTCCAACCCTTTATGACCACAGTGATGGTCTGATGGATACTTCCAGCAGGATAACACAACATGTCACAAAGCTCAAGTCATGTCAAACTGGTTTCTTGAACATGAGTTCAATGAGTTCACTAAACTCAAATGGCCGCACAGTCACCAGATCTCAATCCAATAGAGCAGCTTTGGGATGTGCTGGAATGGGAGAATTTGCATCATGATTGTGCAGCTGACAAATGCTATCGATGCTATCATGTCAATACAGACCAAACTCTAAGGAATGTTTCTAGCTCCTTATTGAATTGATGTCATGAAGAATTAAGGCAGTTCGCAAGGCAGCTAGTAAGGTGTACCTGCACAATATAAAGTGATCAGTTGACTAAACTTAAAAAAAAGTGAGGAAACCCGTTGCCTTAAAATTATTAAGTAAATAAACTTCATGCATAATTGAAAATTATGTGTTACAACTTAAGTGTGAACATTAAGTTTATTTAAAGTGGCTGGTGAGTGTATCTAAAATGACACATAACCATAAACAAAACAGCCGCAAGATACAACTAGATAAGATGAGTGACTTGGCCATAGTTTCAGAACAGAAGAGGTTATTTACCACAACACCAAGGAGGAAATTACGAGAAACCAGGTAACCAAACAGCTTCCTGAACAACTTCCTCTGTGTTGCCCACCATTAGTGTTTACAGGAGGGCAGATCCCCCATACCACCCATCCTGGAGGACCAACGGCGTAATTATAGCGACTCCTTCTGCGAGGATCAAAGCAGGAGAGCGTTCCCACACTGCACTTCCTGCTGGGACATGTTGCAACAACTTTGTTTTAAACAAGCCCTCCACCCCCCCCGCACACCACAGAACTGTCTATACTTATTCACCGACTTCAAAACTTAACATAAACCCGACATGAAAATGTCTTGCCTCAGTAGATGACTCATAAACAATAAAAAAAATCATGGAAAGTTGTGAAATATGTGCGCAAACCAGTCCGTATCCATCCGTGGGACAAGTTTAACCTTGATGTTTCAATTGTTAATGTTGCACAAAACACTTGACGTCAGAATCGACCTTGGGAAGATACCACATGCTGGATCAAAACATCGGCTTTGGCAGCGCCAAGCGCGTTTATACAATCATGACCAAAAATGACACGATTTAATCCATTTTTTTTCTCATATTAATCAAGTAAAAGCTGTTCCATGTTACGGTTAAAGATCTCCTGAGAAGGCGGGTTTATTGTGTCTTAATCTCAGTGAACTTGAGCGGTTTCCAGGAACTCTGCAGCACCTGCTGGGTTCCCAGGGGGTCGAGCGGAGGCCCGCGGCCCGGCGGAGGTGTCGCTTCAATCCCTTCGCCTCAGCTAACCCGCGGCCTGGATCAGAGCTTTTCCCTGTCAGGAACCGCGAAATTAAAGCTCACAGCTACTTTATCTGCTCGCTTTACTTCAAAGGTGGATCGACCTGGTTTTGGAAAAATTAGAGCCTTTGGGTCCACAGGAGTCTTGTGTCAAAGAAACAATGATTTATGATGCATTAGGGGACTGCTAAGCTAACAACAACAGGGGTCATAAAGAACATTATTCCAAAGTACATAAATTTCCGTGTACATCAGCGTTTTTTCCGAACATAAAATAGTTTTTAAAAGACGTAATATTACCTGATGAAGTGCAGATGTGTTGTTCCTATATAGCCTAGCAAAAGAAACGTTTTTATGACTGGGGCAAATTGTCACTTTTTTTACTCAAGAGAATTCTTCTCAGGTTAGGTTTATTGAACACCACTGTCTGTATCACAAATCTTAAAGTTTTGACTACAAAAAAGCAATTTCTACCATCAGTGGTCAGGGGGGGGAAAGATAGCCCTACAGGTCATTCCTTTATTAGCTAAGGCTTGTTGCCACAACGCAATTCAACAAAGTTAAAGGGAGGGTAGGCGATTTCTTCCAGAAATATTTTTTGTTATGCTGGTTAAAAATCTCTTCACATCCTAATAGCAATCAATAAGTTTAACTGGTCTTGTTGTCTGTGGAAGGCGTATGACCGTAAAATGTTCGTCCAATCATTGTATTCGGACCGAATGCAATGATTGGACGAACATTTTACGGCCCTATTGATGTCCTACCTGCCTGTCAACGTATGTATTTCCATACCTCCGCGCAGCCATCACACGTCATCAGCGCGTTTCATGTAATGAAGAGTTAGACAGATGTCAGTCACTAAGGACCGTGTTTTATGTTTCAATGGCAACCCTGCCAACGCTGAAATGAATCTGCAACAGTCAGGTGGTACAGCTCTAAGTTGTTTATGTTCATTATTAATGTTATGTGCTTTGAGACATGAGGTTTAACGCCGCCTCTGGAGACGCTTTTGTTTGCTCCCCACTGTGCGCGTTCATGTGTTTTGAAGGAGACGTGTCTTTTGAGACGCTCTGAAGGGATCTTATGCTTTCAAAGCTAGCTCGCTATTGCTAGCCTCTCCGAAAATAGCCTACCCTACCTTTAATGTATAAAAAAAGCATAAAATGCGACAAACTATTTAGGCCTAAAAAGAATTAATTATGAGGAATATTTAAATAATTAAAAAGATAAAACGGCATTCAAAAGGCAAAGCGGCTTTCTATTGGTGGTCAATGCTACGATTTGACATGACATCATGCGTGGGAAGACCTTTCACACTCAGTCGAAACTCCAGATCACGTGGGTTCCTACTAAAATGACTTGAATTCGCCGTACAACGGTAGATGTGACAGCATCTTATAGCCACAATGTAGGTCTACTAAAACATCAAATTAGACACCAAGTATAGGAGGACTGCA